AGTCGGCAGAAATTCCTACTGAGCAGGAGGGATGGGGGAGGTACGGCGGAGGTGTGGGGGGCCGCCGGAGGGGGTGGGAGAGGGTCCGGCCCACGCTGCGCCTGGGCTGGGACTGGTCCCGCCGGCGCAGGGTAGCAGGAAACTCTCCGCACACTCGAGATTTTGACTTTTGATCTGAACAATGTTGCAACTCTTGATTCTTTGGGGAAAAGATTATTGTGTTCCTGTTCATACTTGGGATAGTTGTACAATATTAAGTGGAATTATGAACTCAATATCATTACTGGGAGATTAAGTATGGTGTAAGGAGATGTGCTTGGGTGTGGAGTTGACAAGGAGTGGGGTGTGAGGGTGGTGGCGGACTGCCAGCACGATTGGTCTTTGGGTTTGCCTGGGACTTGGGCAGACTTCCTGAGTGGACCATGGAGGTGGCTCCTTGGGTCAGCCATGGTCCCTTGTCCCTCCTCTCTGGCACTGTCCAACGCTTTGCTTCCTGGTTGCCATGAGCCAGGCAGCTCTGCTCCACAACACTTCTGCCATGTATGGTGGAGCTGCCCATCTTCGACTACATTTCCTGAAAACACGAGCAAATTAAACCTCACTCCCTAAAGCTGTGTCGGGTGTTTTATCTCAGCAACTGGAAAGATTACTGGTACAGTATTTAATATATTTTTTCCTACTGGAAGAATGGGAGAAGGAAAGAAGTAAGTGGAGGACATTGGGGGATAGAATTGTACACCAAATAGAATGAAATCCTCATTTTCATGACTATACTATAGGATTATTTTTAATGTACTTAGTACAGGGTCTGATTATGCAGCTCAAATTCATAGTGATTCTCCTGTTTCAGCCTCACCAGTTCTGGGATTGCAGGTGTTCACCACCATTCCTTGTCTCAATCACTAGCTCAGGGCAGGGCCTGTGTGGCTTGTGTTGCCAGGGATCAAACCCTGGTCCCTGAGCTTGCCTAAGCAGGCATTTAGTCACTGAGCTATCTTGCCAGTCCTTTATGACTACAATATTAAGAAGTAATTAGCCGGGGAGATGGCTCAGTGGAATAAACGCTTCCCTGGCAAGCGCAAGGGCCTGAGTTCAATCCCCGGTTCAAAAAAAAAAAAAAAAAAAAAAAAACAAAAAGAAGTAATCACTGAAGTAAAAAGGTAGTATTCCTAATGGGTGTGAAGTTGAACTAAAGAATTAGCTGAAAGTATTGACCATGTGTGCTCCTAGATAAAAGAAAAGAGCTGTGTGTGTGTGTGTGTGTGTGTGTGTGTGTCTGTATATCTGAGTGTCTCTGTAGGGAGGTGGTGATGAAGGTTTACTTTTTTAAAAATAATGATTACTGAAGAATTAATTGAAAGTTTTAAATATCTGTATATTTGTGGATAATTCCAGTCAAGCATTTATTTTGAAGAAAAGAAAACATGAAGATAATGTAAGCAAGGAAAATGGAAATTAGGAAACGTTATGGAATATGATTCCAGATAACCTCTTACTTTACCAAGAAGAGATAGAGCTCATTCAGAACCGCTGTAGAAGGTCAGAAAGGCTCAGTATTGGAAATGATGGGTGTGGGACCGAGGGACCAGCGACCGCGACATGGAATCCCAAGAGTCAGCGGAATCAAACTGACTAAACAAGCTGAATATGCAGAGTGCTTTGTCAGTGAATGTTTCCAGTGTTCTGCAGCAGCTCCAGGGGAGGAGAGAGCTTGGGGCTGACTCAGAGTGGGAGGACCGAAAGGAGCGCAGAGATTCTGGCTAGCTCCTGGCCCCGCGGCGGTGGGAGGCAGACAAGCCAGGCTCAGGAAGCATGAGGGGAAAGGCAGAGATCGAGGGAGTCAGAACTGTAGTTAGAACAGCAAGAAGGAGGAGCGGGTGAGCGAGGTCAGAGGCCAAGCTCGCAGCTTCTGCCATTGTGGAGTAGAACTTGCTCAAGTAGCAGGTGGGGCAGCGAGGGCACTGTCAGTAGTGACAGTTGACATTGACATGTTGCAGGGGAAGATATAATGAGCACTGAGCCCAAGGCAGGGATGAGAGGCCAAGGTGTGAACCACGAAGCCCAGAAGCACAAACATGCGCTTGGGGCTTGGTAGCAGAAGAGGCTCCAGGAAAGGCGGCAGCCCTGGAAAGTGCCGGGAGCCCTGTGGCATGCTGTGCTCTGTGTGCACTGCCAGGCTGCGAGCGTGCATTCCTGAAGCGCGGGGCTTCTGAAACCTGCAAAGTAAATATTTTGGGGAGGAAAATTGAGTCTTTGTTATGTGATTTTTCTGAATGATTAGAGTATATTTTAAATAAACAAAAATAATCCCTAACTTGATTGCCAACAACCATATGTATACCCTTTTAGTTCACAAGGGTTAAACACATAAAAGTCAGGATATTGAAAATTAAGGTTCTCATAGAAACAATAATTTGACAACATCATGTGTACTAGTGGGAGGTTTATATTTTACCACACAAAATGATTAGGAAATTCTTAGTTAAAACAGACAAAACAACAAATTTTGGGGAAGTCATTAAATTGTGATTATAGAAAAATGTGTTTTACAATTCCCAAAGAAGGGTTGTTTAATTGGATTGTAGAAAACAATGGTTCACATCCTAAAACTGTATTTGATACAGCTTTTTTACATTAACCCAACGTTGCAAGCACATTATATACCCTGACATTGATTTATACTTCTCATTTGCAGTCCAGCTTTGAACTGAAACAAAAAGAAACAATTTGTCCCTTTTCATGACCAAATTGATAAAAATTTCAGATTCAAATGGTAAAATTCAAATGTAAAAGTTAAAGGAATCCACATAGGGGCCAAGGATATAGCTCTGTGGTACAGCACCTGTCTGGCAGGCACACAGTTCTGAGTTTGATTCCCAGCAACAACAACAAAAAAACAAGCAAACGAACAAGCAAAAAAACCTTCCAAGTATTATTTTGTTTTTGTTTGATATATAGACAATTGAGGATATTTGTACATTTACTTATGTCTTGAGAGAGAGAGTCTCTCCCTGCACTGTGTGTGTGCATTGTGCACACACCAATCTAACCTTGCAAAATGCCCTATACAGGTAGCTTATAAAAGCTGGGGAGACTTTTAGGGTGTGGTTAGATTTAAACCTCCTTGTCCCTGCTCCAGCTTCCAAGCTAGACAGCAGACCTAGAAGCTTGTGCCCCAGGAGAACTAGACGGAGCTGCAGGCTGAGCAGCTGTCAGCCTCAGCTCGGATTAGTGGCTCTATGGAGTCACACCTTATAGGGTATCATCTCCTTGTTCAGTCAGAATGAGAAGCAACCATGACGGAAGAAATGAAGGCCGCATCAGTGAGGTTTTACCTGTATAGTGAATCCAAGGGAACTTTCTCCTTTGAAGTTAGATGCTGTGTTACCACCACAACAATTTTAATCACTTCTCAGCTCCAATTATTAAATTGCAAGGTAAAAATCTTACGACTGTAAATCTAATACAAGTTATTTGTGGTGCAAAATTAATTTAAAAAATCCAATAGACAACCCCCCTAAGAGGTCAGTGCACAAAACTAAAGTTGACATTTTGCTAGGATTTCTACTTTCCATTGTCTTGTATGTCATATGAAGCATTGTACAGAACAATAAAGGGCCATTCATGGGAGTAGAATATGTAACTGCCTGAGTTCGCAGACTCCTGGGCCTCTGTTCAAACCACCTCTTCAAAAGGGGCACAATGGCCCGCAGTTTTCACTGAAAATCGTATGAAGCCCATTCCATGCAGTAAGCTCTTTCTAAACTTGATGGAGAAAAACCCTTTTGTGTATTTACTTTTATCTTTACCTCCTGCTACTTTGTGTTGCCAAACACGCAGAAGGACAAACGCAAACTGCCAACTCACATGGTGCAGAAGCAAGTGTTTTGCATATTCAGAAGTATGGTGGCATTTCTAAAGCTCAGCAACAAGCCACTTAGCATCTTTCTTTTGTTTTTGATTTTGCTTATTCAGGCACCACAAGGCCACATAAGGAGGGCGAGGTCCCCGGAGTGGACTACATCTTCATCACTGTGGAAGATTTTATGGAATTGGAGAAAAGCGGTGCTCTCCTAGAAAGTGGGACTTATGAAGGTAGGAGAAGTCTTCCTCGCTGGGTCACTTTACTTTGTACTTGACTGAAATCCATGAACACACTAGGTTAGCAATGTGCTGGCGGTTTGGGTTTGAGGCCTTTAATAAGACAATTTTAGAAACAAGTGGAAATACATCTGAATTAATTCTCCTCTTAAAATGTGGATGTAAAAATGTCTATTTGTACCTACTGAAGTGTCCTTGTGATTGTCTCCAGAGGTAGAGCTGCACTTTTCCAGAGAAAATGTCTCTAACTCTGGGTTGCGGGGAGGCAGTTCCCTGCTGTCAGTAGCTCTGTGACACTCGCAGCCTGCTCCTTCTCACTTGCCTTGCTTGCAAAATGCTAGGACAGGAAAATAGGATCTTTAGATGAATTCCTAAGCTCTACTCCAACAGCAAGTCTCACTGTGCACCTGAGTCAAATATGAACAACAAGTGAAACCAGTCTTCAGGTTGAGAAGTGCACTAAATAGAATACATTATATTATATGTGAGAAGTACGCTAAATTGAAAATTGAAAAGAAGTCTTCAATTTGAGAACTGGCTTCCGTTCCTAATGTGGCTTTAGTTGCTCCACACAGGATCATGGAGATTTTGTAATGTAGCTGTAAAAGGCCAAATGGTAGCTTCGGAAAAATAAAAACAAGTAATCGTGTGCTCATATGAGCATATCTGCGCCATTTATGTAACGTTTTCCTGCATTTGGTGTGTGTGAATGGAACTATATATCTTAGTATGTGTAATAAGACTTTAACATAATTAAAAATGGAAAACAGTACCATTCATTCTTCATAGTTATTTTTGCATGTCAATCATATGCACTTATACTATTAAGTTCAAAGTTGCATCTAGTTTTACAGAACTATAATTAATAATGGGTGATATTAAAATCAAAACTTACGAATGATAATTTAGCTCATCTAACTGAATTCTAGCAACTGGCATCAAGCAAATTGAGCTTGACATCTAACAATTTGTCCCTCCATTTTCTTGGCAACATAGTATAGTGGATTATAGATAATTAAAAACTTTAATATTTTGAGGTTGTCAAAAGTATTGAAATTTCTTTTGTTGTTTAGCATTCATAAGGTAATTTAGACTGAAACACTTTTTAAAATTATGGCTGAGATATTTAGTTATTTATTGCCTTATTTCCAGAAAATAGGCAAAAATATTCAGGATATCGTTTTGTGTGTAAATTGTTTTATCTTCATTATATCATCGAGCATAAAAGATAGTAGGGATCAATTGAAAACATTGTAAATAAAAAAAGTTGCATTGACATTGTGAAGCTGCTTTAAACAATTTATGAAAGTGAATAAATCATAGAAAATAAATCAAAAAAGGAATAAATTTTATAAATGTTTTGATGGGCTTTGTGATAGCAGTAGTCACTAGTTTGCATGTCTAGCAATAGTAATGAATTATATTTAATGACCTTATTAAGTGTCTTATTTACTTAGTAAAGAACCAATGACTTAGCATACACTACCCTTCCAAGAGCAGCCTGATTAACAGTATGACTGTCTCTGTTTTGTTTATGAAAAATAAAGACTGTTTAGTCAAACTGAACATCTAAGATGAAAAAAATTAAGTCAAAAATCATTAAAAATTTTTCAGGCCAGCCTGATAGCTCAGTGGACTAAAGCACCTGCTTAGGCAGAGCGCAGCAGCCAGGGTTCGATCCCGGGCCTGCTGTGCCAGCCCCACCCCCAGGGCGCACTGAGACAGCAATTGAGACTGGGCGTGGTGGCACATACCTGTAATCCCAGCTCTTGGGAGGCTGAAAACAGGAGGATCACTATGAGTCTAATCTAGTAGTGAGACCCTGAACACCCTGTAGGCCCTGCCCTAAATACCGAAAAAAAATAAATAAAATACAATTTTCATTATTCTTAAATTTGATGTTATGAAATTTATTATCAGCATTTTTAAGTATAAGTTTAAGTTAAATTTTAGGTTCCATTTAATTTTAAAACCAATGTCCTGAAACCAAATAAACATTACTGAGCTTTGTGAGCCCGAGTAAATCAACCTGATTCTTCCTTAAACATCTTTTCAGTACTGCGAGTATGCCTGTTGGGGGTGGGTGCCATCTCTTCTGTCACCTCCAGAGTACATACAGCTGTATATTGTGTAATAAGACTAATTTGAAGTGTGACTTCATCAATGATGCCAACACCATTATTCACAAAGTGTGTATGTAGATAAATGCAAATCTCTTTCCTTTGGTCACATAGCCAACTTGGGTAGTCACCAAACAAACATTCTCAAATCTCTGGATCTTCAGATTTTTCTACAACTGTAGCTAAGAATCCAGGAACATTCACGTTCTAGAAAAAAAAACAAAAAAAAAAAAACTGTATTCCTGCAGGGTTGGTCGTAGAGTTACCACTTAATGAGCTACTTGTCCAGAAAGACAGGAAAAGCTTTTTCTGATGTTGGTGCTTTCTGAATAGACAGAATAATAATCATGTGCTACTCAGCTGGACAAAGATAGGCCTGAGTGAGAGCTTTTACGTTGGTCAGGCCTTCACAATATCACCCTTGCATGCTGATTCTCAATAAAAGTCAGGTTGCTCTATATTCCCTGCTCTCCCTCCTGCGATGTGCTGGTCCTTGCTCACTTCTGTCCTGGCTTTTCATTCTCCCCTCACTTCAGTAGAGCCCTTCAGCAGACTGGAAAAATCCATCTGCAGCATTCCATGCATCCCAAGGAAAATAAGAAAGCACTGAGTTGCTTGCAGCATTAGGGTCATGGATCTGCTGTTAACAATATGAGGTCCTTTCAAAACTCAAAGGAACTCCCAAAAAACCAGTCAGCAGCCCAGAACAGCAAGACCACTTGTAAAACTTAAAATAAAGAGGTATCTCCTGTCCTACTTGCCCACCAACAGGCCTCCCAGCACATACATTTGGCAGTTGTTCTCCATTACTTAGTAGCAAAGATCACAGAGAGTAAACTGGTCAAGCAATGGCTGTGACTCATCCACATGGCTGACACTGACAAAGAATCTACTAACTGTGGTACAGGGTTTCAGGATAAATCATGAGGGGAATTGATTGACCTTATCAGATCAAAAGCTACATTTCTTGTTATATAGGTTTTGTTTTATCATGGTCTTAACCATCCAGCAGAAAAGTATAAAAACTAAGCATAAAAAGTAAAGCCATATTAATATGCTGAGCTATGAAAGGTTCAAGTCAACAGCTTCTGACTTTGCCAATCTTATGAAAAACACTACTATTATGGACTATTGGAATATATTGTAATATTTTGCTGAATTCATGCACCTATAATATTTAAATGACAATGGAATACCCTTCTCTGACAAAACTAAACAAAAAGGGGATACAAATGAATGACTATTTTGTATCTGTATATTCAAAATAGGATATACAGCTACATTCTTGTAATTCAATGAATAGAAAGATATGTTCTAATAGTGTTTGTAAACAGGATATCATGTCTGCTTCTTGTATAATGAATAACCACTAAGACAACAATATGCAATGTATCAATTGTTGAATCTGTCCTACTAGTCAGATTTGAAACTGTCTCATTGCTCTCTGTTTCTCAATAAAATTATTGAAAAAAATAAAAGATATTGAAAAAGAAAAAAAACAAAAACAAAGATCAAAGGCATCCTTTATGAATGTCTGGTTTAGCTGCCTATCAGTAAATAACCAAATCTTCTTGTTTTTATGCTTATTCCCACCATTGGTTTTTGAAAAGTCTTCTATCCTGGCTTTTATTTGCCAATACCACTTCTAAAATAGTCATGAAGCAACACTGTATTCCTTTAAGCATTTAATATGCATACATTTTTGTTTCATTGTTAATTTTTCTGATTTTAATTTTAGTGGAGACATATAACTGAAACAAACTTGTCTATTACTTTGTTGATTAGAAATCAAATGAATTGTCCTGAATTATAGTTCTACTTCTTGAAAATTGGGTCAAAGATCTTACTCCAAAGGAGCAATCCTGTTACTTGCTGGAGCCTACAAGAAAGGTCTGACCTACGTTAGTTAGTGTCAACAGTTGTCCTACATGGTCCCAGCTACTGTGATAAAAGCAGCATTGTATT